AATAAAAAATAAAAATAAAATAATTGGTGATTTTTTTTGACACACATAGCAATTTAAAAATACATGTACGGAACTTTAAAGGACCATTCTAGGCACCCAGACCACTTCAGCTTAATGAAGTGGTCTGGGTGCCAGGTCCAGCTAGGGTTAACCCATTTTTTCTTAAACATAGCAGTTTCAGAGAAACTGCTATGTTTATGAATGGGTTAAGCCTTCCCCCATTCCCTCTAGCGGCTGTCTCATTGACAGCCGCTAGAGGCGCTTGCGTGCTTCTCACTGTGCTTTCCTATGTGACCGGCTGAATGCGCGCGCAGCTCTTGCCGCGCGTGCGCATTCAGCCGACGGGGCGGAACGGAGGAGGAGAGCTCCCCGCCCAGCACTGGAAAAAGGTAAGATTTAACCCCTTTCCCCCTTCCAGAGCCGGGCGGGAGGGGGACCCTGAGGGTGGGGGCGCCCTCAGGGCACTATAGTGCCAGGAAAACGAGTATGTTTTCCTGGCACTATAGTGGTCCTTTAAGGGTTACTGCCAAAGAACACCCCAATATGTGTTCAGCAACCTCACCTGAGTACAGTGATACCCCCCATGTATAGGTGTGTCGGGTTCTCTGGGGGCTAAAAGGAGGGTGCGCATTCCAGTTTTCCAACTTGGAAATTTCAAGGCTAGTCATCATGCACCCATGTCCTATTTAGAACATTTTTGAAGGAGGCCAATGTAATTTACCTCATCAAATCATATATTTTTGAAACATAGACACCCTAGGGTATTTGAAATGGTGGTATTTGTCAAACTTTTGGGTAGTGTTGTGTTATTTTTCTCTCATATTATAATGTAGGCATAGATTCTCAGTTCCTGTTATGTGTTACTGACAAAGAACACCACAATATGTGTTCAGCAACATTTCCCGAGTACAACAGTGCCCCCAATTTACAGGTTTTATGAGGTTTTGCAATCTTACAGGGGTCAAATATAGGGCTTTCCCCTTTTCCATGTTTGCACATTGAAATTTGCCAGATTGGTTGGCTGGGCCTATGTTGCCTTTGAGACTGTATAGCAGCTCAGGAATGAAAATTAACCCCATCATGGCAAACCATTTGTAAACATAGAGAACCCACGGTTTTCAAAATGGGGTATGTCCAGTCTTTTGTAGTAGCCACTTAGTCATAAATGCTGGCCAAAGTTAGCATTCTTTATTAGTTTTTTGCATTTTTTTTACACAAAAACTGCACTTTTACTGGTGATTTCATCACCGTGATAAGTTTTACTGTTTGAAACACTCATATTTGTGTTCAGTGAAGTCTCCTGAGTATAACAGTACCCCCCATGTATAGGTTTTATGGTGTTTTGGAAAGTTACAGGGTCAATATAGGGCTTGCCCGATTTAGTTTGCAGGGTCTGTGTTGCCTTTTGAGACCATAGGGTAGCCCAGGAATGTGAAATAACCCCATCATGGCATACCATTTTCAAATGTAGACAACCCAGGGTATTCAAAATGGGGTATGTCCAGTCTTTTGTGTGCTATCCAGTGTATGTATCATCATATGATCTGTGAGGAGGTAGAGTATTAGTGTGACTCTTACTGAACGCCTCTCTAACTTCCCAGTACTGCATAGGAATTTTGGAAGTCTGAGGTGTGGAAGTAGACAGATTAACAATGCCCACTCCCTTAGTAATGGGTAACATGCATCACGGCTTTGCATGAAAAGCTTTTCTTGTTGTAAAAGGATATCAAGGAGAAATCTACTTTGAGTATTACCAGAGGACATTTCCATCACACCTAAGACCTGTCCCCTTAAGGTTCTTAGGTGCGGATGTTTTCCGGACGTATGGGACAAGCATCTCTCATATGTCCTTTCTTGCCATAGTATAAACAAAGGCCCTCCTTTCTCCTATACTGTTTCTCTGCCTCTCACAGTCTCGTAACCCCTAACTGCATAGGTTCAATAGTTGGCTAGCCTTTACATCACTGTGAAAATGCCTAGCAATCCTCCTGTAATGATCAAGTATGGTTGTCAATAAGGTTGTACCACCTCCTCTACCAACACCCAGGCACCATGGGCTGCCACCAGTGTGCCATCAAGGAAAGAAAGGCATGTTGGCCAGTGAGAGCTACTCATAAATTTGGACAATGAGGCAGTTAATGTAAGTCTGATGTTTTGAGCAGTCCAACAGCCCCTATCTATTCTGCCTCTGTCAACTACTGGCACTATCCTCCCATACTCTGCTGAAGAGTGGTAGTAGTAGAGGAACTACAGTTGCTGCTGTTGTTGCTCCCCCTTTTTGTAATGCCTTTCATTGTAATGGTTCCACAACAATTGTTACTATTTTAATGCTATTTAGTTTGACTTCAACGCACACAGCCCAACATGCAATGTGCTTCAACACTTGCACAGCAAATAATATAGAAAAAAAATGTTTTGCAAACTGATTCTTCATATTCAATTATGCGGTATCCTGCCTGCAACACTACTACTGCCATAATTGAGTGCACACAATAGTGCAGTTAACTGAAGACAAGCACCACATTGGACAAAAATCAGTGCCCTACCAACTTCTACTAACAGGATTTGCAGAGGTAGAAGGCATAGCTAGCAAAGGCAAAACCACCACAAAGAAAGGCATTTGAAAACATAGCAACCATAACCAGCACCACAACATATTTTAGAATACTTTATATTTCTAAAACAATTTAAAAAAACAAAACAAAAACACCTGCACACATCTGCCAATGCTGTGTGTGTTAGGGAAGAAACGTACAATTTCCGAAACACAAGAAATAACAAGGAAGAACTGCAAATGAAATATATCAGAAATCAGTAAAACAATTCTAAATCCGTGTATCAAAGTGTAAGTGCTACTGGCTGTGGCAGACAGGCAAGAGGAACTTTTCTTTTTCTGTTTTTATTAATTGGATGGTAGGGAGTCAAACTGTCCCTGTCTAATCTGTCTCTGTCGATTACTGACACTATCCTCAACTCCCCAACTCCCCCCACTCTGCCTAGGGTGATGGTAATAGTAATGGAGAAGGTACCACTCGTAGTAGATCATGGAAACTATACAGACTAAGATACCAGTGGGCCTGTTGCCTGCCCTTTTACTTTTTTGATCTACTTCTTCTCTCAGTAATATAAACTTGTGGTGTCTTTTCAGATGTTGCTTCACACTGGCACTAGTGAGCACTTGGTTTATTAACGCCATTAAAAATTTTGATGGTGCCAGAACAGGTGGTGCTTATGGTGGTGGTGGTGGTAGAGGTCATGGTAACCATCACAGTAGGTGAGCTACTTGTGCCACTGGTAGCAATGGACAGCTGATGTTATAACTGTCTTCATTGGATGAGGCAATTCCAAAGCAGAGACAGATGGACTTGGAGATAGTGGAAAAGATACAGGAAGAGAGTGCACGCTAGCTGTCAGTGAAAATACTATGCTGCTGCTTGTCCTTCAATTTCTTCTTCTGAACAAAATGTAACATTGATGATCGTTGGTTTGTTTTTCTTATTACAACAAATTTGAGATATAAATGACATTGTGCATTGTGTAAACTAACAACAGTATTCAGCAAAAACAGGTGATAAATGGTTACTGCTTGGTGGATTTACTACTGTAATGCTATTGTGTTTGACTTTAACAAATACCACACTGCGCACAGCACACATTGCACTGCATAATTTTTGCACACTTCGTAAACTGGTGATTCCAAGTTGGTGTTAAGTGGTAGTTGCTAGATATTAGCAGTAGGCAAAGTAGTAATTGCAACCACCAGTTTCACAAAAGGATGAGTAAAAGGCTATCTCCCACTCTAAGTTTGTGTGACTGCCACTGTGGTAATAGCTAAGCAAGATGAACTTTTTTTATTCTAGAGGTGGAACACAAACCAGAAGTCCATCTGCTCAAGGACTGCATGCACTTCAAATTTAAATAATACAAAGAGGCTCATAGAGCCTACATTATGAAGTATACATGTGCGAGCAGGGGTCAAGTCCTGGGGAAAAAAGTGTGGGAACTCTCCCCAAAAAAAACCCAAACACTTGTATGTATGTTTATATATATGTATGTATGTGTGTGTGTGTGTGTGTATATATATATATATATATATATATATATATATATATATTTACACAGTGGTGTATTTTAATTTTATGCTGCCCTAGACATGACTATAGAGCACCCCCCTAATCTAAATTTACCACTCCTTCATGTCAAGGGTGCACCACTTCCTGATTAAGAACCCACCCCTTCCTCTTTAGACTCCACCTTTTCCTGCTCCTTTTAAAGAAATACTATAGTGCCAGGAAAACAAAGTTGTTTTCCTGGCACTTTAATTCCGTATAGTGCCCCCCTCCTCTCATGTCCTCCCCTCCCCCACTCGACACTGAAGGGGTTAAAATCCTATGGGTATTTAGCAGATGCTGGATGTCCTCATGCACAGGGTGAGGACGTCCAGCATCAGTTAGGTGACTTTGGTCACCTAACCACCCGAAAGTCCCTCTAGTGGCTGTCTGATAGACAGCCACTAGACTTGGAGTTACCCCTCAGGTAATTATTGCAGTTTCTGAGAAGGTTTAAGGGGACTGGGACACTGCACCCAGACCACTTCAAGGAGCTGAAGTAGTCTGAGTGTCTATAGTGTCCCTTTAAGCACACTCTCTGACAGACACCCACACTGGCAGATACACACTGTAAGTAACACACACATTCAATGACAAACACACAGACATCACTGATTTGACACACACATTCACTGACACACACTCATTCATTAACAGAGAGACACACACTAATAGTCACACACACACTAAATGACAGACTCTCACTTATTTGACAGAAACTTACAATAACGTATGCACATACATGCAATTGCAAACATACACATGCATACACTAACAGAAGCACATACACTCACATACACACGTACAAACGCTAACAGACATAAATACACTCCTACACACACTGAGACAAACAGACATCCACACATCCAGACATCCACACATCCAGACATCCACAGACAGACATCCACACATCCACAAACAGACATCCACAAACAGACATCCAGACATCCACAAACAGACATCCAGACATCCACAAACAGACATCCACACATCCACAAACAGACATCCACACATCCACAAACAGACATCCACACATCCACAAACAGACATCCACAGACATCCACAGACATCCACAAACAGACATCCAGACATACACAGACATCCACAAACAGACATCCAGACATACACAGACATCCACAAACAGACATCCACAAAGAGACATCCACAAAGAGACATCCACAAAGAGACATCCACAAAGAGACATCCACAAACAGACATCCACAAACAGACATCCACAAACAGACATCCACAAACAGACATCCACAAACAGACATCCACAAACAGACATCCACAAACAGACATCCACAAACAGACATCCACAAACAGACATCCACATCCACACATCCACATCCACACATCCACATCCACACATCCACAAACAGACATCCACAAACAGACATCCACAAACAGACATCCACAAACAGACATCCACAAACAGACATCCACAAACAGACATCCACAGACATCCACACATACACAGACATCCACACATCCACAAATAGACATCCACAAAAAGACATCCACACATCCACAAACAGACATCCACACATCCACAAACAGACATCCACACATCCACAAACAGACATCCACACATCCACAAACAGACATCCACAAACAGACAAACAGACATCCACAAACAGACATCCACAAACAGACATCCACACATCCACAGACATCCACACATCCACAAACCAACAAACAGACATCCACACATCCACAAACAGACATCCACACATCCACAAACAGACATCCACACATCCACATCCACAAACAGACATCCACACATCCACAAACCCACAAACAGACATCCACACATCCACAAACAGACATCCACAAACAGACATCCACAAACAGACATCCACAAACAGACATCCACAAACAGACATCCACATACACACATCCACACACAGACATCCACACACAGACATCCACACACAGACATCCACACACAGACATCCACACACAGACATCCACAAACAGACATCCACACACAGACATCCACAAACAGACATCCACACACAGACGTCCACACATCCACAAACAGACATCCACACATCCACAAACAGACATCCACAAACAGACATCCACACATCCACACACAGACATACAGACATCCACACATCCACAAACAGACATCCACACATCCACACACAGACATACATATATACAACTTAATAATATTATAAAAAAATTAACATTTCCCACCCACCCACCCAGCATCCCTACCTTTCCCTGGGGTCCAGTGGGGCTGCAGTGAGGACGGCTCTCTCCCTGTCACACGCGGAGAGGGAGCTGTGTGCTCTCTGCTCCCTCTTGCCGCGCGGGATGTCTGCTGATACTGGGAGCCGGAATATGACGTCATATTCCGGCTCCCAGCATCAACAGACATCCCGCGCGGCGAGAGGGAGCAGAGAGCACACAGCTCCCTCTCCGCGTGTGACAGGGAGAGAGCCGTTCGCCAAGGGGGCAATCCATCAGGTTGCCCCCCCCCCATGACAGGGGAAACAAGGGGGGGCATTTGGGGGCGGCATTTTTTGCCGCCCCCTGAGTGCCTGCAGGGGGAACGGCGTTCCTGCTGTGAAAAAAGTGCAGGAACGCCGTTCCCACGCGTTCCTGCAGGACTCGAGCCCTGTGTGCGAGGCTCCAAACATAGGCAGAGACCTCAAGAAAGTTCCAGAGAACCAAAACACCAAAAATAATCTACCTATTAAAAGGGCAAACAACTACACATATGAATAGAAAAAGAAATAGATAAAATAGAAATGTAAAATTAAAAAATAAGAAAAAAAGTAAACATAAGTGAAGAAATAATAAATAAAATATAATTAACGTAAACATTAGTTACGGTAAATTAATTAAAAATAAAAAACAAACATATGACACCAAAGTGAAATAAATAACCAACTAAAAAAAATAATATAAAATAATAAGTATATAAATAAATAACAAAAATAAAGTATAATGAAAAAATAATACATAACATAATAAATACAACATACTGTCGTATTGCCTGAACATCCAAATCATACTACTTATAGAGACCACTTTTACCACTCATAGAGACATTTCAATATATTATGAAGCATATACATAACAAAGAATATTATAATTATACTATTATGGGTGTTGGCTTAGTGTTGGCTTGGTGACACCTCTTATCCCAGTTACATATCTCCCAATGTTGTAATAATGAACTTTAAATAAAGAACTTTAAATAAAGTCATAGCAACTTTTACCCCAATTTTTGCCCCCAAGGCTCGCTTCAACTTTAGAGATCTGGCAGCAAGTAGTGGTCTTCCAAGAGATTTGTTTGTCTTTTTTTGGCAGAGGATGGGTCTATTTAGTGGCATGGGTCTGGAGGAGTGGTAGCCCCTAAAGCCTTACATTAATCCAGACCTGCCAGCAGTGGATATATCAATTATTCTCAATGCTAGGATGAAAGGTCAGCTTCAACAGAAATTCAAGGTGTCTAACTCTGTTACAACCAGTGGTGTATCCTGGTTTTGTGCTGCCCTAGGCAGGACAAAACTCAAGTGCCCCCTACCCCCCATGCTACCCCCACCCAACCCTTCCCCCACCCCGCCTTCTAAATACACACACACATTCACTGACAGATATGCATACACTAGCTAACAGAAACACACACACACACACTAATAGAGCGCACTCACTAACAAACACACTCACTAACAGACACACACTAGCACACACACACACACTAACAGACACACACACACTCACTAACAGACACACACACACACTCACTAACAGACACACTCACAGACACACACACACACACACACACTCACACACACTAACAGACACACACACTCACACACTCACACACACACTCACAGACATATACACACACTCACTCCACATTAACATATTTTTTTATTTATTCAGCCCCCAAGCCTCCTTACCTTTGGGAATGCTTGGGGGAGGGGGAGTCTCTTTCTTCCTCGGGGTCGATGCTGGGCGGGCGCGCGGCTGGCGAGGGAGCACTTCTTCTGAGCTGTCTGCTCAGCTCCCTCGCGCACCGCAGAGTGAGGCTGGGAGCGAATATGACGTCATCTTCTGGCTCCAGCCTCACTCTGCGATGCGCGAGGCTGAGCAGAACAGAGGAAGTCCCTGCAACATGTCAGTTAGCCGCAAGGCTAACAAGACATTTGCCCTGGGCATTTGGGGGCGGCTTTTTTTGCCGCCCCCTGGAAAATGCCGCCCAAGGCAAATGCCTTGTTTGCCTCGCGGCTAAAACGCCCCTGGTTACAACCACTGAAATCCAACACTATTCAAACTGCATTTTACAAATATATGAATTTATTGACAACCTTTAACACTATAACACTATAGTCACCTAAATTACTTTAGCTAAATAAAGCAGTTTTAGTGTATAGATCATTCCCCTGCAATTTCACTGATCAATTCACTGTCATTTAGGAATTAAATCACTTTGTTTCTGTTTATGCAGCCCTAGCCACACCTCCCCTGGCTATAATTGACAGAGCCTGCATTAAAAAAAAACTGGTTTCACTTTCAAACAGATGTAATTTACCTTAAATAATTGTATCTCAATCTCTAAATTGAACTTTAATCACATACAGGAGGCTCTTGCAGGGTCTAGCAAGCTATTAACATAGCAGGGGATAAGAAAATCTTAATTAAACAGAACTTGCAATAAAGAAAGCTTAAATAGGGCTCTCTTTACAGGAAGTGTTTATGGAAGGCTGTGCAAGTCACATGCAGGGAGGTGTGACTAGGGTTCATAAACAAAGGGATTTAACTCCTAAATGGCAGAGGATTGAGCAGTCAGGCTGCAGGGGCATGTTCTATACACCAAAACTGCTTCATTAAGCTAAAGTTGTTCAGGTGACTATAGTGTCCCTTTAACTAGATAGTATTAAATCAAAGAGTGCAATATTCAAAAAAAGTATACTTAATAACATTTGCCAATATGCTCATTTTAAATGCAGGATCCTTAGCTTTGAAATTCCTTAGTGAGTGCTTTACCAGATAGAATCAACAATCTGAACGCAGATGTAGGAGTGTTGAATAAGCCTGTCTTCCAAGAACTCATATTCCAGCAGACTGAAATAATAATTTAAAGTGGTATTCTATGTCTCGGGTTGTTATTTTTTAATCTCGTGTGGGTGATATTAAATCTGCAACATTAGTCGTAAAAGAACAGCTCCCTGTTTTAAATAATCTCTGTTTCATACTCTTTCCAATTTAATCTATTACAGCTGGATCACATGCCATCTGTAGGCATGAAGAATTAAGGTTGTGTATTCCTTGGTCTTGTTACATCAGAAACCCAATAACCTTATTTGTTTTTTTTTTATTATTAATAATAATAACATTATTATTATCAATATATCCTTTAATAAATGAGGATGCATTTATTTTTTATTTTCTTAATTTATTTTTATTTTCTTAATTAAAAAATTATGTTTTGGCAATAAAAATTTATATTTGCTTTCTCTCTTGTATAATTGTAAAAGTGGCAAAATTGTGCTGCTGTTCTTTCCTTAATGCTTAAAAAATGGATATTTGTTAACTTTGAAGCAAATATGTTATAGGGGCTTTACTGAGACCGGAATGATGTTTATCCAGCAATAAAAAGATTGAAAACATACAAAAGCTCTGATATAACACTTTCTGAAGCAATGCTTTATTCAGGAAGAAAATCCCTTCTTGTAAATTGATAACCGAGGTCTGGATTCTATTAAAAGTGATAAGCATATATCTACTTGCATAACAGTTTTCCCTAGATGTCAACTGAAAAATTGTGATTCAAGTACCAGATACACGTTTACTTCTTGTAACAGAAACCAGATTTCAATATGACATCTTTAGTCCAAAACAAAAAATGCTAGAAATGTAGCTGGCTTAGAAAACTAGTGACTTTAATAGTGTTATTCACTAAAGTCTAAATTGTCCCTCCCAGAACAGGGCAAAACTATCCAGCTGCAAAAAGGGCCATTTGGACTGAAAAAAGATTTTGCAATTCAGGCACCAACTGGGTCTGAATTTGGTATGGTTATCAGCTGGGCCAGACATCTACGGACGACTGAAATCTAGACCCAAATGCTCCATAGCTGGGTCAGGATTTTTTTTTAAACTTAACTATTCACCCATTGGCAGCACTAGCAGCAAGACATCGAATTGT